GGGGCTTTTTGTTCTTCTTTTTCTAATTGATTTAGGTGGTGGGTTAGGGTTATAGTATGTTGCGGATATGAAATGTTTGCTGTGCCACCAATCGCTTCAACTTTGGGGAGACCAGAAGTGGACAGAAGATCCTGGCTTCTAGAAGTTGGAAGGGGAACCAGATAATAAATAAATGGCTTTGCAGTATGATGCCATTGGTGATAGATGGCATAAAAAATAAAACAGGGTAAGAAGGAGCCTGGTAGGGTGGTCAGGTAGGACCTTTATGAGAAGGTAACATTTGAGCAGAGAGCAGGTGGAGGGTGAACTGAACAGAAGTGGGCATGAAGAACATTCCAGCAGAGGGAACAGCTCATGCAAAGGCCATGAAGCAGGAGCTTGACTCCCTAGAGAAAGAGGGACTCTGGAATGGAGAGACTGGATTTTACACTTGGAGGGTTTCAAATGAGGACATGTCCAAATGACACTTTCATTTTACCATGATCACTGTGCTGAACAGACTAGAGCTGGATGGCAGAGGTAGAGGCCATGTTGGAAGCAGCCACAGAAATAGAGGCAGGACATGGTCCATTCCAGAGTCTGGAGGTCTAAGGCTGGTGAGCAATGGTGATTACCCCCAGGGTGTGCTGCTGGGTGTTAAAGGAGTGAGGAACAGCTGTTGTTTTGGTTCCAACTGAGTGATGGGAAGGTCTGCCTGGGAGACTGCAAAGCAGGTTTCTGGGAAGGGTTTGGGAGACAAAGATGGGTTTTGGACTTGCTGGGTCTGAAATGCCCAAAAGACAAATAATTATGACCCTCCTGGGAGAAAGCCAAGGCTAGCGGAGGAAATCTGTTGTCACAGCACAGAGCAGAAGTTGAAACCGTGGGGTGGATGAGTGCAGGTGGAGAAGGTGCCTTGGAGAGGGTGGCCCTGCCATGCCAACTTTGGAGACTGGGAAGAGAGGAGGGAAATCTGGAGGAGAAGGGGAAGGAGAAAGTGGGGATGGAGGAGAGAGGCAGGAGGCAGGAAGGAGAGGAGGCAGGAAGAGAAGGAGCAGCCACTGTGAGGTGGAGAGAAATCTGG